TCTCATATTTGTTCCCATTTTATCAAAGTGAACATCTTATTAGTGTTTGTATATGTTTAATGAGGGTTTCAAAACAGACCACTGCTTGCTTCTTTATAACAAGAGGGGAGAAGGCACGAGCATTGCTGGAAAGCTGTCCTTCAATTTATACTATTCAACTGGAATTTATTGATGAAGTATAATAGACGAAACATCTAACTATGAATGCTCGATATAGTTGCCAAAATTATTCCACTTGTACTATTTCCCGTAGGGATTTATTTATTTAAGCAGCCGGGTCTGTAGTAACGACATTCAATGTAACTTGACATTAGGAATCAGAGAGTTGAGCAACTGTTTGAGGATGTTCCGAGTGCGTGTGCGCAACATAGCCCATCCCGGTATCCGGCAGTTCATCCTGCGGACTGCCGTTCTCAACTACTTGGGCAAGTTGTTGCAGCTACAGTGGGACGACTGGCAGAACCAGCGCATGCATTTGCGTACGTTGCAGCACGAGGGGCCTAAGGCAACGGACTCGCCTGCGTTGGATGAGTCCACTGCCGAAGCTGTTTTTGATGCTGCCCGCGAAAATTTGGCCCAAGCAATCGACGAGCTGCGCAGAAAGGTCGCCGGTACACACAAGCTGCTACAGCGTGAATACAATGAACTTTTCACATACATGATGGACAAACGTGACCTCTGGGACAGTCCCGAGTACTTCAAAGCCAAAACTGCCCTAGGCACAGCCAATCACAATCTGAGAATGTATATGAGCGCAGAGAAATGAACAGAAAAACAGTTGCCAACAAACACAGTTCCGTTTCAATGAATAAATTTTTAGCAACAATAACTAGAAGAAACAGCGTGTAGACATTATTTGTAAAAGGGGATTTCCACGCGGCCAGACTTCGTATTCACCGTCTCCCAGCAGGTGCACGTGAAAGTGGAACGGTCCATGTGGTCCGTATACAGTTTGCCATCCAAATGATCCATTTCATGCTGGGCAATGCGCGCGTTCCAGCCACTCAGTTCCAACGAAAGGGGTTCTCCTTGTCTGTCCAGCCCGGACAGTTTCACAGCTTCATAACGCTCCACTTCCGCTGAAAATCCGCGAACGCTCATGCAACCCTCCGGATGCTTGTGCTTGGTATAGTTTGTGATGCTCAGTCTTGGATTGATAAATACCTGGGCGAACAGGCGAGAATGATAAGTTAATATTATAGATGTATGCGTATTATTACTTCATGTTACAGTCAACGGCAGCTCGGACATTTGTCGCGCCCTGTACGTCGCTTCGGGAAGCTCCTTTTTAATGCCCCGCCTAAACTCCATGGCAATTATTCGCAGGGAGACGCCAATTTGGGGTGCAGCAATACCCACACAGTCATACTTGCGTAGTACCTGCACCATGCGATCCACTATCGCACGAATCTCTTTGCTGTCCACACATTCCACAGGGACTTCTGCCGCTCTGTCCCGCAGCACGGGGTCTCCGATCTGTGTGAAGTGGCTGTAGGGCGGTAAATTTGTGCGTTCGGTTGTCCACAGCTTTTGGTACCACTTCCTGAAAGATTGAGAGGCTGCACGGCTGGTGCTGAGTTGCCTCGCATTCAGTCCACACAACTTATGTAGCTTTAACATTTTTTGCCTTTTGCCGGCGTAAGCGTAACCGTAACACTATGCAATAAAAAAGTCAAGTCTACTTGCTTATACCACTGACCAAACAGTGCTTATACCCTTAAAAAGAGATTTTTTAATATAATTTATCTTAAAATTAACTTGACTTTTAATCATTCCACTAGTAAAGGTAAGTTTCTGCCTTTATTTATTTGTAAAGAAAGCTAAAAATACGAAAGTACATTTCAGCCAGGGCTTACGTACATTAATCGATAGTTAACAGTGTCATTCTTTCGATAGTTTCTGTTAACCAGCTGCTCCGAATTAGGGCGCGAAGCAATTCAAATTAGAAGTTTGTTCAAAATAATTATTTATCAAACGTTATGACATCACGTCCACCATTTGAATTAATCCGTGCCCATGTATTGCATATAAAGCTCGAAACGTCCATTCGGTCAATGTAAACTATGCCATTTAAATGATCCATTTCATGTTGCGCTATGCGCGCGCTCCATCCTACAAGTTCCTGTTCGTCAGGTGTTCCAAGCATTCCAATACCAGTGACTCGTACGCGATCGTATCGAGTCACTCGAGCGGAGAAGCCGCGAACGCTCATACAGCCTTCGGGCTGAGTGTGCTGCATATCGCCGATTATCTCTATTTTTGGATTGATAAAAACCTTAAAAGATAAATGGTTATTTATTAATATATGTGTAGAATTTTAGCTTACGCTGAGTGGCAATGTAGACATCTTGCGTTGGTGGTACACTTCGGGTGTAAACTGTTCACGCTTTTCCTCGCGGAACTCCATGGCAATAATTCGCAGTGGAACACCCAATTGGGGCGCTGCAACGCCCACACAGTCGTAATGACGGAGCACTTTTACCATCTGATCCACAATGCAATGGATTTCTTTGCTGTCTAATCGTTCAGGTGGAACTTCTTCCGAACGAATCCGAAGCACAGGGTCGCCAATTTGCGTAAAATGATTATACGGCGGAACCGTTCGAGGTTCCAGATCGGCACACATTGAGATTAGACAACTTACTAAGCTCTTTGCGTACATTTAAAGCATGTGATAACAGTCGCACGATAGAGTTTGCTAGGTTATGCAATGCAGTTTGTTAAGTTAACAGTGTCTTTATTTCACAAAGTGGTGCGTGCGCGTTTTTTTTTTAATTTGTTAGATAATTAAGCAAGTTTGACACTGTTATATATCTTGAAACCAGGAGATAAAAATAAATCGAGCTGAGCGGTTAATTACAATTCTATAGAGATTCATAAATTTGACTATATAATGGCTTTATCACATCATTGCTGATAAGTTTTTACCACTATTTTTAAATTTTTCATTTTTAAATTAGTGATTATTCTGAATTATGGACTATTAGCAGAGCTCAAACTGAAAACTGTGAGCTGTGACGTCACAATTCCTATTCTTACATATGTATGTATTTAAGTATATCATCATAGTTGAGATAGCAGAGAGCATCGACAGAGGGAGAGCAGGGGAAATATTGAGTATAGAGTGATCAACATTTGACCAACTTGGTCGAGCGCATGAAGCAAAATGAGTGTGCTTTCGTATATTTTCGTGGCTCGAACCTAAAAGTAGGGAGCCGAGCGAATCCAAAGCTGTCTGGGGTGCTAAAGCCCCAGAAAAAACGCGCAAACAGCTTTCCACTAGTTGTCTAGTTTATGTGCTCTCTGGTTAGTGTCTCTGGTTATATACATATATGCACATATAAAGTGATTATTAGTTATAGGAATGTGTTGATTGAAAATTGGAATAGAATTAATAATTCGATTAGCATAATAATTAATAAACAATGTTTCATTAGTTAAATAGATTTTGGTATGTTCGTTTTTATTTTAAAGCAATAGCCGCGCTTGCTGAGAATGTAATATGAATATAACATTCAAATTAAACATGACCACACTTTACTCCTCAAAGAAACGATCGTCCTGTGTTGCCTTCTTGCGATCCTTTGACATGCTCATAATCGATAGAGTAGCTATACTGGATCGATTATCACTAATACCGTACGCGTTCTTGCGATGCCTTGCAATGAGCTTGAAGTATTTGGCAATAATGGTATTCACTGGGGGCCCATATCCTTTCTGGTTCAAGTCCTTTGTGCAGCGTAGATATATGTCCTGCAAGACGCCGCCAGTACGATAAAAGTTAATCAATCGATCGCGTCGAACCCACTTTGCGAGCATTTGTAGGCTGAATGGCTCATAGATGCGAAACACTTTGAAGAACTGATCGTAGTGTGTGGACATCTTACGCATCTTGTCCTCGTTAATGTTGGGCAGTTGCAGACACGGCTGCCGCACGATTTGATATGGATCGTACTCAATGGAGAAGTTGGCAAATCGTACCGCCGGCCAATTCAAGTTCAGCATAGTATCGTACAGAGTCTTTGGATGCCCCAGTATCCCATGTGTCACATCAATCATAAACAACTGCGGCCCCGGCACAATATACTCCAGTTCAATCTGAACAATGCGCGTGTCTGTGCCTCGATACTTTCGTTCACCTATCCATAGGATTGGCAAATCTTCCTCGGGTATAAGCTGAAGTTCCTGAATAAGTGGGGATACCTGGCTACGATAGTTGACAAGGCGATTGTTGCGCCCATATAGCAGACTGACTTCCAATGGCGTAAATTTCAGATACTCCGGTTTATTTACGATGAAGTGCTCTGAGCGAAATAGCCTATTCATCTCCATTTCAATCACATAATAGGCACGTCTGTGCAGGGTAATCCATACGATCTGTATAGCCACGGCCAGGAATTGCTCGTGAAAGTACTTATCCTTTATGGTGGCGGAAATATTTACAATCTCTTTCATGTGGTAGAACTGCGCCATATCCCCCTCGCCTTTGAGGATCGCACTATAGTTGCGAGCCACTAGCATCCGGTACTGACTTAAGTAGATCGAGAATATACGCTTCATATCGTTCGTTTGCTCACTCTGTATCTGTGCCATGTTGCCGGCCAGTTCATCTCGTCGAATCAGTACAAATTCGACCATCCGCAAGAAGTACTCGAAGTAAATGATCAAAGCATGCAGCAACCTGTGCACCGCGGGTTTGTGAATAAACTCAATAAATTTGACAGTCAGAAATTCGCTGGGCGATAAGAAAAGCACCAGGTCACGCACATCGTTAATCACCACTGTGTCAGTATCGAATGTATTATCTCCGCGCACGAATTCCTGTCGAAATATTACCTCCTCCTCTTGATTTATCGTCCGCAGGAATTTATAGCCATTTGTCTCTATATAGCGCTCCCTCTTATCGGCCAAGTCGTGGTGCTGCTCAAAGCGCAGACTGTCGGATTTATTGTCCCACGACCATTTCCCACTAAGGTACTTCGGCACATAAGTATCGGCAT